TTCATTAGAGAAGAACCCGTCCAGAAGACCTATACAATTTTTTTCTTTTTGATGTTTTACCTGGATTACTGAGATGCATCAGGACAAAGATAAGAATCTTTCTGCTGGTTTTTATTCTCTGACAGCTGTTTTTTGTAATCTGCCAGCTTCAGTGCTGTTTCCAGTTCTTTTTCAAACTTGTTCTAACAAAGAAATTTATTTTAATTAGAGCACCGCTCCAACTTCCAGATCTGAAATCAAAGTTCTGCCGATATCCAAGTACCGCCCCCATCTGATTTCTGATTGGCTAATAGGCCTGTCTTTCTAAAGTGAAAGCTGCTCCTCTGATAGGTCCAGAGAAATGTCTGTTAAAACAGTTGGGCTGGTAAGTCTGATTTTCTCTTTTTCTCCCTGTGGAGGTAAGCCGGACATCGGAATACTATCAGCCCTGCACTTTCTTTAAATATATTGTTCAAACAATATTCCAAACTCAATAAAAGGAGACACAGCGGCTGTAATGTTCATAAACTTTTCTTACCGTTCGTTTTTCCATGAAGCTCGTCAGGAATTCATCGATGTCGATGCGACCCTCGAGAAAGCTTTCAGCCGTTTCCTCTGAGTCCTCCTCAGCCTGGTGGGCTGCAACCTTTAACCGAGCCTGTAGAGTGCTTAAACTGCAACTCTAGTGGGGAAATACAAGAAAATTGGAAAGGACAAAATCTCTTTTATATTGTTTCATTATTTTTGTTTAATTTGACAGTAAACCAACCAAAAAACAAGTAACCTGGAAGGTTTTTTAAAATATTGCATGTTTCTGACAGGAGGAGCAACAAAACTCTGTTGTTTGAACCAAATGCTCAGTTCCCTGAACCCATTCATTAAAATGGTCACCCTTTTGTCAGAACTCTAAGCACGTTTCACCCAGTTAGACACAACTTGCAGATGTATTTTCACCCACTAAAACACGTAATGCGCCCTGATTCACTTGGGTTCCACAATGATCAGCACAGAAAGCAAAAGTGAGACACAAATAAAGCACTGCTGTCTGAACTGAAACACAGCAACTCAAAACACATCAAACGGGTCGAATGCTGCGTTCACACCGAACACGATTTCAGCGTCAAAAACGCGTCCAACGCTTCAAGTTGGACACTTATGCACGTTGAGGTCAGACGAGAGTCAAAATTGTTCGATGCGTGGCGCATCGAGTCCCGCCCCCACCCCATGGTCTCTGTTTAATGGCACAGAAAGTGGCTTTGCTTTATTTATTGAGAGCAAGAGAATGTTGCTCTCACCAAATGATTAATTTATAATTAATTCACCAGATAACTCAGAGACGTTCTGAATTTGAGGCTTTCAGAACTATTTTTGTCCCAAGCTCGGTTTGATGAGCCGCTGACCCGCATCGGTGCTGATATCTCCTGCCAGGACACCGACTACAGGCACTGGATTTCAGCTGAAGAGCTCCTGTCCATCTGTCTCAGGTTAGTGGACATCAGAGTGGACAAACAGAGCAATATTGTATATGCTGTTAAGTGCCAGGAGGACTGCGACCAGTTATACATCGGGGAAACAAAGCA